TATTCGGTTAATAAAAAGCAATGGTTAAACAATGGTGTACAAATAAACATTTAAATGTGGACTAAGCCTTAGTAACAGTAACTGTTATTTTTACCTCAATGGCGCTTAAAGTGATAATTAAAGATTATAAACGTGACTTATATTAATCTGAATATGGCTTTAGAATCGTTTCTTGGTACCCGGATACACACTGTGGTGATCATTGAAACTAATGAAATGGCCTGAAAAACGAAAACGTATCAAGGATAGAAAAAAATTTGTCCAAGTAGTTTCAAAATATCTTCTCTTAGCAAATATTGAACCGGTGCTGAGCAGCAAGCGAGGGGTGAAAGGGCATTGTATGAAACACTGCTAAATTTTGAAACTACCACAAAAATGATCACGTAATTGAATGTTACCCTAAGTTTGGCCTCCAGCATCCTCATATTGACTGTTCCTTGGTTATTATCCTGTATTCTGACGATCTACAACGACAACGATGACAACACAGCTCGACACAGTAATGGCAACCAAACGATCATTCTTATACAGCACAATGGTAGTTATTCAGTTATCACTGAAGCATGATACTCTGGACTTACAGCTTACCAGTGATGCCATTGCATTTGATTTTGCACGAGTGACTGACATTGCCAACTTGAAAAATGTTGCTTGTTTCGCCTCGTAAAGACAGCTAGTTAATCAATTATTACTGTAGTCAGCTTACTATTGATTGTAGTTCAATTTTTAGCACAGCATTTGAATAGCTCCATGAAATGTTACGTTCGTAATCGATAAGACTCTAACATGCTGAATGTAGATAACTACGTGGAGTATACCATTATTTTAATATCACATCGAATAAATGTGAGGCTATCGGGTCAATAACTGACATTTCAGCGGTGGTGTAGTCGACATGTATCCCAAGGACCCTACTCAGCACCGCTCAAACAAATACTGTACTATCGGGTTTTAGAGCGCTTTGCGATTGAGTGTCTTAAGGTGGCTGAACACAGTTTTTGATACCTGTGTTTCATT